TGATCGTGATCCTCGTTTCACGAGTAAATTTTGGAAGTCTGTCTTCCAGGTGATGGTCACACGTTTGGACATGTCCACAGCGGATCATCCGCAGACCGATGGTCAAACCGAACGCGTAAATCGCGTTGTTGAAGATATCCTACGCAGCGTTTGTGCTGAAACGCCTAAGCGTTGGAGCTCTATGCTCCCTGTAGTTGAGTTTGCACTCAATAACTCCGTGCACGCCTCTACCGGCTACACTCTGTTCTATGTGAATGGCCTCACACACCCACGCGTTCCTTTAACGCTACCACCGGGTATTTAACGGCTTGGTGTGGGAAAGGTTGCCGATTGGCTTTCTGATGTAAGCTCAATACTGTTAAGAAACAGGTAAATGCGTTTCTCGCAACGCGACTAAATATCTTACGACATGTGCAAGACGCAAATGCTGATAGCCAAGACAGAAAAAAATGATATGCGGATGCTAAAGGCAGAATTTGTATTGATGATTATGAGGTCGGAGACCAAGTATCATTAAATGCAAAAAACCTACCTACCAATGTAGTATCTGATGTCTTTAAGACAAAGTTGCGCCCGCGCTTCATCGAACCCTTTACGGTCGTGGCCAAGAAAGGCCTAGCGTATACGCTTAACTTGCCGCGCAAATTGCGTACACATCCCGCGTTCTACGTCGGCATGCTCACACCATATCGGGATCCGTCCCAAATAGACGCTAAGGCGCTCGCGACGAGTTCATCGGCATTACCGCGGGACGAAGCATCTGCACCAACAGGTCAAGCTGACCCTGCACTCGGGTTCGGCTCTCTTCCAGTGACTCAAGACGGGAGTTCATCGACTGCACATCCTCATGGAGAGACCGCACCTCTTGAAGGAGATCGATATGAGCTTGTGCCGGTACACCGGCCTCCTCCGACTTTGCTTGATGGACAGGGTAATCTGCAGCTTCATGTTGAACGTCTGCTGCAGAAACGTCGCCGCCATGGTCAAAACCAGTATCTGGTAAAGTGGCGGGGTTATCCCGAGTCGTAAAACTCATGGGAGCTCGAGGTTCCCCTTCGGCAGGATTGCCCATACGCCGTGGACGTTTTTGAGCGTCGTGCGCAGGGCCAACCTGTAGGCGATGACGCTTCTCACCAGTAGTGGTGGGGGGGGGGGTAGGCGAGTTAGCGGCCTCGGCCTGTCGTGAGCTCGCGGATACAGATGTAGCCGAAATATTGGGGTGTTGTGTAGCAGACGCATGTTGCGTTCGTTGAGATTTCGAGTTTCCTCGGGCCTTCAGTTTAGCGTAATCATAACGCATTTTCCGTTCGAGGCGAATGTCTGCCACATCGGCACTTGCCCGTAGGGCCCACATGCTGGATAAACGTCGCGCATAATGCGCCCAGCGGCTAAAATCCGTGTATTCTTCATCTTCGGTTTCTCCCGCGAACAGAAGAATGGGAACGCCCTTTATGGGAGGGACTGGCGCACCGCGCACTTGCCTGTTGAGGCGTGCCAAGTATTGGCTTTACGTAGTAATATGAGGTTCCAAATATCGTTGTCGAAGTGCCGTTTGCGTAGCAACATCCTCGGGTGAAATGGACTCAGGCCCAATGGCCCAGCCAGAAAGAGAATGTCCAAATGCCTCCTTTAGCGTTCTTCCACCGTAGGTGGTTTGAAACTATACAGTCAGTGGTCCTGAAGCCTCGCCATATTCTTCGTCCGGCGCTTGGCGCCTTCCTCTTGGTCGATGATCTGCTGTTGCTGCTCGTCGAGTGGGTTTGAAACCGTCGCCGTTGACGATACGTCAGGCGGGTCACGTGACGCTGTTAGCGCATCTGCAGCACCACGTTCAAAGAACTATTCGGTGCATGAATACTGTCATCTTCATGGCTAAAGGGGAATTATCGGGTCCCACAAAGACGGTGTCACTTTCGTAATCAACCGCTTCGTCAAGGTCGCCTTCGATAAGGTCCCGTAGAGTCTGTGACTCAGTGCCAGGAGGCGTCATATTATGTGCCGTGAACAAACCGTAAGGTTTTAACGTTTGCTTAAGCACTACCTCTAAGAGGAAAGATGTCGAGTAACATTCTATGGGAACGTCAATCTGGTGGGGGAGAGGGTAAGGGGGTTACACGACGGTTGTAGCGTCTTTCCGAGAGTTTACGGTTAAACACTCCTTTTGTATTGCATATAATGCATTATTATACTTCTCTTTAGAGAGGTATTAAGTATGAGCGTTAAGATACGGTATTCGGTAATACCGTATCTTATTGATTGGGATTCGATAAATCACTAACGCTGTATTAAGTACATCATACACAGATGTTTAGACGATACGTCGTCCAATAGCAAAGTCTGCATATAACAATTACTATTATAGTAATTAATCTAGTGTAGGTTACTTAGAGTAGGACTATTCATATTATCTTAAAGCATAAATAAAATCAGTTCTCCTTTTGAGTTTAAGATCGCAAGTCGTTCTGACTTGTACTTTTGTGCACTTCGTGCATTGGTTCTCTGAAACTCTAAGCTTCTAGCTTGTTCTTGCACTCTGTGCGTTGGTTCTCTGAACCTTAAGCTTATTGCTTGCTGACTAAAAGTCTTTCCTACTTCCTTAGAACAGGGTGACTTTAAGTCGTTTAATTAGTTCCTTAGAACTAAGTGGCTTTTATCCTTAACTCTATTTAGTTCTCTAGAACTAATAGGCTTCTAGCCGAAAGTCTTCCTCTGGCTAAAGAGCTGTGCAGCTCCGCTACAGTAGTGTATATCACATGCACAAGGGTGTGACACATGGTGTGTTCCACCCAAGCGACAAATTTTAAGTACTTAGGTACCTTTTTAGACCTGCCATTTAAGTATCGCATACTTAACGGGGTACGTGTAACGGTGAGCCCGTAGGCAGCAGCAGCAATGGAGCTTGAAAGACTGGTATCGGAGGCGATCAGCTAAACGACACAAGAGGAATGGATGGTGGAGCTATCTCAACCACTCCCTCACTCTCCTCGGGCAATAAATAAGGAGAGGAAGCATTTTGGCCCGCGTACTCCTGGGCCGACGCCCCTAGATTGTGGACTTGCAGGAGAACGTTTTAACCTCAGGAAGTATGCCAAGATTCAGCCCTGCACTATAGCAGATCTACACCTGCTTCGGATAGGGGTTCAAAGCTACTCCTTCGTCATCCCGATGGCAGACGCTACCACGTATCGACAAGCCAAGCTGCGAAGATGGGGCCAGGCATTTTGCTTAGCGCACCGTGCTTAGATGTGGGGTAAGCGTTTCAAGTGCGTAAGGACCTACTCCTGCGCCACACCCGCAATTAACACAGGATTATACATGGAAATACACGGCGACGGGCTGCGTCAGTGGCATCTCGGTGGACTCGGAACACAGTCAGCAACGCGTCATCTTCCTGGAGCAAGAAGCGTTGGAATTCATTGGATCATGGCTGCAAACAACTTCGAGAATCAGTGGACGGCTGCCGATTGCAAGCGGCTCCGTAAAAGCCAGAAAGCAGAGGGTATTGTATTTGTGCGAATCATCTCGTCCACGGGTACCCGTGGTGCGTGTCCGACACTATTGCGAACAGGCACGTACTGTTGGCCCTAAAACAACAACCATTTCGTCGGTACAAAGGTTCGGACAGTGTGCTGACACGAATTCTGGAGACGCTTCAGGACTCAGCGGAGGGAAGTGCGTGGCAGACAGCTGCTTTACAGCAGACGCCAACCGATCTCTGGGCTCATAAGAACGAGCTCACCGCGTACCAAGTGTGGGTCGTCTATCGAGTAGCGATGCTGCAACTGAATCTCTTCCATCCAGACCGAGAGCAAGTTAACAGTTGCCGCAAGCTCCATTGCTGCTGAGGGGTGACAGAAACACTAGAACACATCTGCTGGACATGCCCGTGCGCGCAAGCCTGCTGGCAGAAGCTGATCTGCCATTGGACAGGGGAACACTGGGATCTTGGACGGATTCAAGGCTTTATAGCAAACAGTGCAAGCAGACACGCGCCAGATATATCCACGGCGGTCCTGGCACAGCTAGCGCGACACCACCCAGACAAAGTGGCCGCATACACCGCCATATGGACACTCATCTGGCACATCTTTGGCAGCACTTGCATTACCAGCTTGTGGATACAACGCAATTGCGTGACGTTCTAGCAAGCGGACGTGACCATCGCCGGCAGCGCCGGGAGACCGGCATTTGGCAACCTCGCGCAGTCGCGAAGCGAGAGTACCGACAAACACACACGAAAATTTAAGGAACCCGTCTGATGCAATGTCAACGTGCCGTAGCCAGACAACCCCGAGAGCCGTCACCGCAGGTGACAAGACCCGTATAACCACCGATCCCGAACGAGGAACCGGCGTTGCTTACCAGGCTTAGGATTTACCAGACATCCTGTAACAACTAAAGCTTAATTAGACTCGTCTGTTTCTCTCTTTCTCATAGCTGAAAAGCGTTAGATTGCGAAGATACGACAATCCCAGCTTCGTGGGAACTCCTATGAGTCTTCTCTACACTACACCGTCTTGTCGTTCGTACTGCCTATCTCCATCTGGTTGAACGAACGATTGCCAGAGCCAGATGCTAAGCACAAAAGTGGTGCGAGTCGGCAAAGCAGAACTTGGCATCAATAATCTAAAAAAGCGAGAATAGACCCGTGTCGACATAAGAAGTTGGTGTTTTTGACTCGTCAGGTTCATTCTTGAGCATTGCTCAGCAAGAAAAAAAACAATGTAGAGAGAATCTTGCAGATGCGTGCTTCGTAGTATGAAAAAAAAGAGTGACTAATCTGGTATGGAACGTACATCATCCAGGAAAAAATAGCTATCGGTTATCCCGTGTCATATGGTTGTGCTTGGAATTGACAGCGAGCGATGGTGTGATGCAACCGAACGCAAGGTGACGATAATCCAGATCTCTCCTTAGACCCAACCTTTCCACAACGCCACCGCTCGAAAATTGTCATTTTGCAATTCGCTTGCAAACACACACCCCTCTTTAACAACATCATGGTCTTCTCCTCAGGAATTCTCGGCATGGTGGCGGTTGCGTCAGCCTATCTCGCGGCCCCCGCCGCTGGCGCGGAAAACCAGCCACTTCCATGGGACGGCCGTGGATATGACTTGACTGACAAGACCATAGAGACCAAGTATCTGACTCATATTTTGACCATGCGTAACAATACCGCGTATAACGGCGTTGAAAAATACGTGGCTATCAAACAGCTTGGCCGCTCGCCCGCTTACAATGATGACACCGGCGTCATCAACATTGCAGTGGATGCACACGCTATCTTTAAGGATCAAACTAACTTCCGCCGCACGGAACTTGTCCAGAACGTCGAGACCAATGCAGAAGGATCGACGTTCTTTCGCGCGAGCTTAAAGAAGGAGAAGGCCTTTTACAACAATTACGAGTGGCAGTGTTTATTTACCGAGTCGCACAACTTCGAAATCCGTGTGAACGCCACGGCGAGCCCTCCCACGATCATGTACTTAAACAACGGCACGTGGGAAGCCAAGTGGGAGACCACGTTCGAGCTTGACACGTGGTACAATTTCGGCATTGACATTACTAAGGCCGCCAAGGGAGACAGCTCCGTGATCACGTTTTACATGAGCACGGGTGACGATGACCTTGTACAGAAAAGAAAGGATAACGTGGTGAGCAAGTTCGCATCGATGGAGGAGCTCCACATCGGACTTTTGACCCTTTCGAACGATAAATCCCAACCGAAGATGGCTAAGGATAAGGACATCATTTCGTTCAACGGTGTGTCGGTGGAGGCTGAGGTGGTTACATCTGCCACTGGTGCTGCTTCTACTGCTGGGGCTGCTGCGAAAACATCTTCCCCTGCTTCTAACGCCGCTACCAAGGAAGATGTTTCGAAGGGCTGCAGTCGCAAGTAAGGGCGCGTAGGGTCGACCGATCACCTCTGCTTTTTACAGCAGTTCACAAAGCTGGTAATATTTACTCTTATCCCTAGCCAGTCGTACTTGCTCCTCTGTTTTGAATACGCTTTGATGGTCGTCTTTGTTTGGTATTCAATGCTTGCTACCTCTTCTGAATGAATCACTTGCACTTATGGTTTTGCAGATAAGTAGAAGACCTTTTTTATAAATTCTTTTTTGTATATAACTAGGGTGTGCCCGTCGTTCTGGTGCGCACGGACCGAATATATAGATAAAACTAGGGTGTGTACCCGTCGTTCCGACGGACATGGTTTTATGCTATTAATAATTATATAGGGGTGTTCATGTCGTTTCGACCGATAGGTGCACAAATTTGACGCTGATCGTAGATTGACTTGGGTAATAAACAGTATCAAAGTTAATGTGTACGAAAATCAATGTATACCTGTCGTTTCGAAAGTTAGGATTTTTACCCGTCGTTTCACGAACATGGTCTGCCTTTTGACCTGTAAATTAATCATTTTGCACTAAAAAATTAAAATGACTTAGGGTAAAGATGGATTTGAAGGTTAATGTGGACTCGTCGATCCGTAAATGTTTCATTGATCACCCGTCGTTCTAACGAGTATATATAGACATCTTAATCGAAGCAATTTGCTAGGTTGTAAAGTTGTTGTTCCGACGAAAATTGTGCATGAAGCATATGCTGGTAGTATATAGAGGCATCCTAAAAAACGCAACGCTTCGCTTGGAAGTGTGCCCGTCGTTTCGACGGTAAACTCGCGCGGACCGAACATAAAAAATTAACATCTAAAAAAAGAACTGAATGTTGGTGTGTTAAACAGCTTTTTAAGCTTCTTTTAGCCAAAGTGCAGCTTGTCGATGCTCCCCGTTCGTTTCGACGCATAGGTGCGCGAATTCTCCGCTAATAGTATATTGGCCTGTCATTTACCGTAGAATATTTTACATTAATTTGAAAGATATAAGTTGTTGCAATCTCGCTATATTGCAGTCTCTCTAGCGTCCAGCTATGCTAGATATAGAGATATATCTCTTGACACTCAAAGATATATATTACTTCGTTTAGCTCTTTCTGGCTACTGACGACTTGCCTTGCACTTTGCACTTTTCTGACTGAGCTTTCGAGCTTTCATGTATGCGGCTGCAGCTAACCTGCGAGCCGCCACCTTGTCACCAACGTTTGTCGACTCGTCCAGTTGTCGACTCGTTCCATTCTGATCTCCGCCGTTTCCCTTCTCCATTGTTTCCACGTTTCACCATCGGAATCGGTAAACGGACGTGAAATGTGTAAACGGACGTGAAATGTTCCAACGACTTCAACTTGGGAGGAACATATCACAACATAAGTACCGAAAGCCAATGTGTAGGAAGGTCAGTGTGTATCTGTCGTCTGACGGACATGGTAAGCGAAGTCTACTTTTTTAATATACGTACCCATCTATTTACTTGAGCATATTTGGCTGACTCAGATACAATAATAGGTAACATTTGATACATTTGGGTCACTTCGCTTATTGGAACTGAATCCAGTTCAACCTAGTGACAACGCTTGCTCTTACCACATTTAGTGTATTATTAAAGCGCTAAACTCATGTTTTTCAAAGAATCTATAGTATGTGCCTAATCTAATAATTAAAAACGCTGTGTTTGATATAGCAAAAATAACGATGGGAATGAAGGTCAACGTGTACCCATCGTTTCGTCGATGTATTAGATAAAGAACAGACACACCAAATAAACTATATTCAGTTAGGGAAATCTACCCATGTTATTATCGATGCAAAAATGCAAAATCAACCAATCCAAAATAGCCGATAATGCATTATTAGCCAATCCAAAATTAGCCGATAGTGCAAAAGTAGCTAATCCGAATGCCGAAAAATGAGCACTACAGACGGACAGACGGACGGACGGACACAATTCCTTTTATTATATAGAAGATAATATTTTAAGGACCGAATGTTTTTTTTCCATGTGCGCCACCCATCTCTTTATCCTTATTATAGTCTGTGTGCAGCTTTTTGGCGTGCCCGTCGTAACAACGGATTAGTACGCGAATTCTACATATTAACCCATCATGTTACCTTAAAACATCCGGTTGACTCAACTTAATTGATAAGTATAATAGGCAATGTGTAAGGAAGGTGAATGTGTACCTGTCGTTCCACGGTCCATTGTGTACTCGTCGTTCCGACGAACATGGTGAGTGAAATCTGCTTTTACAAAATTTAAATATTAACTTGATTGATACATTCCATTTGATATTTGTAACCATCGTTTAATATAGAACATCCAGTTTACTCTAGTAAAATGATATGTATGATGCAATAAATATGAGAAACTTCGCGTATTGAAACTGAATCCAGTTCAACCTGATGACAACGCTTGCTTTTGCTATATTTTTAGTGTATTAGTGAAGTACTAAATACATGTATTTAGAAATAAACTTAAGCCTGTGTCTTATCTAGATATTATAAAAAAGTGTTCGTTACAGCAATATGTAATGATGGGTATGAAGGTTAATATGTACCCATCGTTTCGTCAATGTATAGTATAAAAAAAGCACGGATACGAACACATGGGATGGACTACATTCTGTTATGCAAATCTGCTTGGGTTATTATCGATGCAACATGCAAAATCAGCCAATTTCAAAATTAGGCAATAATAAAAAATTAGCCAATCCGAATGCCGGAATAGGAGCACTACGGACGGACGGACGGACACAATTCTTTTATTATATACGAGGGTATTTACCCGTCGTTCCGACGGTGCGAAAAGAAATATCGATACTGTAGGCATCTTTAAAAAACGCAGCGATTTGCTAGGGCGTTCACCTGTCGTTCCGACGGAAAGGTGACAGCAGACCATATATATAGATTTAATTGTATTAAAAAATTGAAGTATGGTCAAACAATTTTTTGATGCTGAGATCTGTTACGTGTAACGGGGTGAGCCCGTTACATAATATTGACACTTATATGAAGTGTCAATAAAATATTATTATAACTAAAAATATTTTGACAATATTACCTTTTCTAATAATATTGTTCCTAGATCTCCTTGAAGTTGGAGATGCCCTCTCATTGGTTGATATGGGCCATCATATCAACCAACGCGCTGACCAATGACCGATGGACGCGCGCAATGAGTGGAGGGCAAGTCGTCAACATACATAGTTGTAGTTTAATATAGTTAACATAGGTTATAAAAGATTAGTTTTATTAAGATAGTTAACTATATTAAATACAGTTTTCTTTTCCCCTACTTCTAAGCGTTTGTTTAGAAGTAAAGCTTCCTCTGCCTCTTGTGTAAGAGAGGTAATTGAGGCCCCTGCTTTCACTGTAATCAGTGAAAGTAGACTATACTGTAATCAGTATAGTCGGAGGGTGCCCCATTACACCTGGTAGCACTTCGTGGTCCGTTCAGCGACCACCGCACCATCCGCTATGGAATCAGCGGGTGATGAACGTCATCACGCAACGCGTGATGATTTCCGCCATTTGAGTGACCTCGAATGGAATGCGGTTTAGCGTATGGCTGAAACCATCGGCAACCCTGCCGTTGGTGCCATGTTGCTCTCTCTTAGCGGAGACGACCAACATGCAACCATCGCCAAGTTCATACAACATGAACTTGACGAAGTTGTAAAGAAACTCACCTTGCTAGAGGAGCAAGGTTCTCATCAGGTTGAACTGTTGAGAGAACGAGGCGCTCAACAAGCTGACTTGTTGATGCAGCAGGGTGCTCAACAGTCTGAACTGTTGAGACAACAGCAGGCTAGTGCTGTTGCTGCCGGGTCGACGTGCATACGTCGACCCGAGTCCTTGAAGATTGATGTCTCCAAGTACAAGGCAGTCGAAAGCGACTCCTTGTTGAGATGGCTCGTCGCATCGATGACGATGCGATGAAGGTCAAGTCCGCCATGTCGAACTTGGCAGGACGTGCCAAAGCTTGGACCTTAGGGCTCAAACTGCACGACCCATACGTTTCATCAACGTATGACGTCTTCAAGGCGCGGCTCAAACACACTTTTGAACCGCCTCGCGCCGAATTCAGGGCTCGGGTTGAGCTCCTGGATTTGAAACAGGGTAAGCGTGATATACACGCTTACGCCCAACACGTACGATACCTCGTTAGCTGTATCGTACTGAACCCAATCGATGAACACACGCAGGTTACTGTGTTCATCAAGGGTCTGACAGATGGTCCTGTCAAGATCCACCTGTTCCGCTTGGAACTAGAATCGCTGGATAAAGCGATCTCTGCAGCGGAACAGGAGGACTTTAGCCTGCAACAGGCTCACGTCCACTCGGGATCCTATCGTCCACCGAGACGACAGGAGGGCGGAGGTCCAGAACCAATGGACCTCTCCTATGTAGAGAGCGAGCGACCTCGCTCTCCAGGGTACAAGCGATTGCAAAAGTGCAATCGCTGTCAGAAGTTGGGCCACTACGCTTATGAGTGTAGTGCCCCACGCCAAGTGTCTCGTAACACTGGGACTGACGATCGACCGTCTGCCAAGAAGGGCCAGAGACGTGGGTCCCACGCTGCTGCGAAATCGCAACAACGTGGTGGACCATCAAAAAACGGTCGGGGTCAGTAGGGGCGGAGCGCCCTACTGACCCAGCAACGTCAAGAGAGTTCGCGGGACTCTTGACGAAGGTTGCTCCCAACACACAGTCACTGTGTGTTGCCGCTCCCAGTGGTGAGGTATCCCTCATCACATTGAAGATCGAAGTGACAAAGAACATGTCACTTCGCGCCCTAGTTGATTGTGGGGCTTCGAACAACTTTGTTCGACGCCAATCGCTAGATGATCGTAGGCTCAAATATGTTGAGTGCGAGACCCCACCAACGAGGATGACGGTGCGCCTTGCAACTGGCGAATCCGTAACAGTAAAGAAACGTGTAGTGGGAATTCACTACACGCTTGAAGGCAAAAAGTACGATGATGATTTCATCGTACTTGATCT